TCCTGCTGACTTGACAGTATCAGAAGGATCTCATCACTGAGCAAAACAGATCTACAGTCCCTGCTGCAAAGGAAAACATCTGGAATACTTAATTCACAGGTTTTGTCACAATTAAGTTTTGGATATCACGATGAGGAAAAAAAAAATAATTAAACTTTTTTGGTTAGAAATTTTGATAATTTTTTTTTTTTTTAAGTTTCTAAATTTCTTTTAAGTTTTAAAAATTGCTAACCAAACAATTCCGAAAAGATATAATGGGAAGAACAGTTTAAAACTATTAAACAGTCATCTTCTCCTCCCTGACTTTCCTGAACTGTACTACTATGACGAAAGTTCATAGTGGACTTTTTTTTCTGAAGTCAAAAAAAAAAAAAGCCAAACCAAATGCTGGCTGCATCACAGACTGATATTTGACCTCAAACTTTCAAGGGAACCATGATTTTACCTAAAGAGTTCAGACTACATCAAAACCTTTAAATATGGAGTTAGTTTATAATAAACATGTCTGAAATGTATGAGTCTAATGCTTTGTACCTAAGGTAATAACCACAGCTCCACAAAATGGAGCAAAATATTTCAATTGATGCCAGGAAAATTATGACTGAATTGATTTCTTTCCAGAACTGCAACTCAAGAGCCATATATTAAAAACATATGTTAGCTAGTGCTGGTAATTCCAAGTCTGTGATTCCCCAAACACTGGCTTAAACAGATTTAATAAACTACTTTATAGAACAGTTTCTTTATAAAAATGTCTAATGAATTTTCAGTCTCTAACTCATACCCACTCCCATTTTCCAACCAGCTGTATTGCAGCTATTAAGAGAAAAAAAGAGGACATTTACTTACTGATGAAAGTTGTCATGAATAGAATTCAGTAAGTTAACCTGCAATTTAGAGAAAATAAAAAGAAGACAATATACAGTTGTCCTTTCTGATATGAACTATCATGGACAGTAAAACCAAATTTAGTTCAAAAACTTGACTACATAGATATTGGCCTGACAAGCAGCCGGCTGTATGAAAATCACCACAAGCTTTCTTTCAGAAGAGAAACCACAATCCTTTTGTACTAGTAAAATCTATCCCAGCAGAGAAGCCACAGAACGCAGAAGAAAGTCTTGGACCACAACTGAGGTTTTTAGTTTTACTGCCACCCAATTATATCAATGAGAATTTTCTAGCACAATAACCTTCCAGACTGAGGCACTGAGATGAAATGGCACAGCCAGCTGTTCAGTAGGTGTTGAAACTTGACACACAAGTAACTTCCAGGGACTCATGGAGTGTTCAGCAGCAGCAGTGCACAAGCATATGCTGTGGCTATGTTAGGTTTGCATAGAAGTCTTACTTGTAGTGAGAAAGCAGACCTGTGGCATATCCCTGACTATGCTTACAGACAGGACAGCAAACAAAGAAGTGTCTTTAAGAAATCACCTCACTTTTTTGTTTAAACAAAAAAACTCAAGGAAGAACTTCCCACCACCCAAAAAAAAGAAACCTAGACTGTATTAGCAGTAAAGATACCAGTTTTGAAGCTATTAGCAGCATAGGTCTGCCCAAAAGCTGAAACTTAGCTCCAAAGCAAAGCATTGTATCAGGGAGAAAAATGAATAAAT